TCAATGAATGGAGTGACATGAGATGTACCTTCCCCAAAATTGACAACCAGTCCATCTGAAAGACCAGAGGCACAGAGCGAAAGAAAATCTTGATTTGTAAGAAAAATTTCAGTAGGATTATATTTTTCAAAAAGGGCTTCTAACAGCTTGTCTTTGTCTGGACATTCTGCCGCAATAATAATTTTGCATTTTGAAGTATCTAATGCCATCCTTTTTAGCAGTACTTCATCCAAGACCTTGAACAAGGCATCGGGATCTGTGATGATTTTCTTTTTGACTGGGTAAATAATGTCGAAGGCCACGGGTTTTTTCTCCTCAGCTTCTTCTCCAATCAGAGTTTGGCTTATTGGATTAAGCAAAGACTGCAAGTAAACCAAATGAAAATACATCAAATTATAAAATACATTATCTACATACATGTACTTATAACAAATGTTTTGATAATAGCAATTTAATTTTAAAGTAAGCAAAAGACCATGTTTTAACCCGAAGCATTGCTGTCAAATCTCTCCTACCTAGCCTTGTTTTGCGACAAATAAGCAGAGTCAAATATTTTTCCTAATTCATTCGCATATTCTTTTCCTCTGTCTCAATATTAAATGGATAACAAAAAAGTAAACTCTTTCATATATTTTTATTTCAAAACCTTGTATTATTAGATTCATTGAGTTACCTGAAAAATAAAAAAAAATAGGGACAAGATATTTTCTGGGAAGATTTAAAACCAATTTAGGTTATTTTGATATCTTATCAAGGACTTGAGTGTGATAAAATAAATAGGTTCCTGTACTCCTGCTTTCAAAATGGATGCTTGTGGATATCTGCTCCATTGCATTTTAAAATGTTGTATAATGTAATGTTTTTAAATAACTACCAGAAAATTTTTAGTTTAATGTAATGTATAGGGATGTTGCTTTGTGATTCGCAGAACTTTTTGATAAGATCTTTTCAACTGAAGTCGGTCCGTGTAGGCGCTTTACGATTAAGAGCCTTCACTTCACAATCGCGCTTGAATGAGTGCTTAGCATAGGCGTAAAGAGGCCTTTCACAAAGGTACGAAAACAAATCAGAAAGAATGGATAATATGTTTGTGTGTTTTTATAACAATTGCAAGATACGTTTCACATGTTTGACGTTAAGGTATTGCCATCTTCAAAATTTTACGAGTTCAAGTAGATTTTCACTGAAAATAGGGTAAATTTACAAATAATAGCAAGAAACGTATAAGATGCCATACTTTTTTTATGAAGTAAGGCAAAATTAAATAGAAGTGTATGTTAACATTGAAAACTGTTTATTTTTATTGAGCAGTATTAGTCTTTAGGGAAGACAGTAACTTTTACTGTTGAATGTTGACTTGGACATTTAAACAAGTATCCTGTATGAAGGTACAGGATTGACAAAAGATACGAAAACCTTTCTAGTTGAAATGGGTTTGGTGTTAGGGGGCTAACATTAGAAGGCCGGGAGTTGAGGGAAGGGTGGTTGTCTTCGACAACTTATATGTGCATTGAAATTGCCGATTTTTTCGTTTAAGTAAATTTTGAGCTATTTATTTTTAAAAAGCTTCCATACACCGCCCTAGTGTAAGAGTAAGTCGTCAACTGTCAAAGTCTGCGCTTCTCTGAAAGGATTTTTATGAAGAGACTTATTTTTACATTTTTACAGTTTGTCTCTGTTTAAATTGTACAAGTCAGTCGTATCGTCAATTTAAAAAGTATATCCTTTCATTAAAAACCCAAAATTCCGTTATAAACTTTTGGTAAAAACTGAATACAATACATAGTCCTAAAAGTGCCGAAATACATGTAACTGCTACTTTACAAAATAAGTACTAGCATTGTGAAAATCAGGGAAAGAATTTTTTAATAGTATGTACAATACTAGAGAAAATGTATTCGAGAAAATGCAGAAATACTTTAGGTGATGCTGCCATTGACATGATTTTTAAATATTGTATAACTGATTAAATAAAGTAAATATACTCAAGGAATCATTGTGTCGTTAGATGAGAAAGCCAGGTCCTCAATGATAGTTAGAAACTAGAAATGATTTGCAAAAAGGGATCACTATACACCCCCACTTTCTGATCGTGGGGTATAAAAATGTATAAGTGGATAATGAAATCAATTAGAATAACTCCAATATATTTTAATGTATACTTACATATTAAAACATGAACAAGCTGTACCCCCTCCCCGTCCATTTTTCAACATACAGAAACACAAATGTTTAAAACATTTATACGCTTGGGAAAAAAATTGTAAACATCTAGTTATTTGTTAAAGTATCTACATGCTGTAGGTACTTAACCCAGGTATTTTTAAGTACCTGTATAACATCCCTGTATAACAAAAGTAAATTATAAAATCTTTTGTCAATTGAGCAAATTACCGTGATTTTTTAAAAGAAATTTTATAGTAGTGAATACTCTTAAAGGTACTTGGACACAGATTTGAAGTTAATATTTTCTCATTTTTTTCTGTATTATATCACGAATTATATATTTTAATAAAGTAAGAATAAAATTAAATTTGTGAGAGTGCAAGGATATGTCAATCAAACCCGCCGAAAAATGTGAAATTTCAATATCTTTTAAATGAAATAAGATTTTTAATTAATTTTTGTGTGAAATGCTATTAAAATATATAAGTCGTAATATTATGGAGTAAATAATAACTTCAAATCTGTGTCCAAGTACCTTTAAGGGTACCTTTAATTCAACAATACATCAATAAAGTCGTGTGAATGATTCATGGAAAAATGTTGTGGTCATATTGCAAACAAAATGTACCCTATTTATATAATAGTGTTGCATTATGCATGTACTATGCCGAAATAGTAGGCAGGGTTTGACACATGGTGCACGAGCCGGAGGCGAATGCACTATGTGTCAAACCCTGCCTACTATTTAGGCATAGTACATGCATAATGCAACACTATTGTTATTATTATGCTGACTGTTGTAATTATTAATGCGGCAATTCATTTGACTTTTTCCTGAAAATATCGGTGCTAACACAGCGCGCTTGCAAGAACTCATTCAAAATCTTCATGCTAAAATTGGTTGCATGCTTAGTTATTCTGGTTACGAGTATTTTCTCTAAATAAGTCGGGATTTTCCGTCCCAAAGCAACTCACCTTTATTTTCTGTTTTGTTATTATATTGTTGTTTGTTTGCAGACGTCGATTCTCATTGATAATTTTTTTTTACATCCTTCAATCAAGCGTCATATAAAAAAGCGTTTTAATGACCCTATGAAATCAGTTCATCAACGATCTGTGTGTAATTAGTTTGAAACTTTGTTGTATACATTAATCTAAGGTCCCTTAGAATAATATATACAGTGGACCCTCATTTATCCGGACGCTTTGGTTCCCAGTCAATTTGTCCGGATATGTGAAGCATCCGGATATCTGAATCACCAGTTAAACAAGACAGAATAACATTTTAAAATTTCGTTCCGATGAAAAATCGTCCGGATATTGAAGCATCCGGATATCTGGCGTCCGGATATCTGAAGGTCCACTGTAACTGTTTTCAAATAATATTTGTCTATTTTTTCCTCTTTGTGTCAATTGTATAAATTAAGTTTATATATTTAATAAAATTCCTCTAATCAGTGATCGTCTCTGTGGCGTAATCGATAAGGCATCGGGCTGACAATCTCCTGGTCGTGAGATCGATCCCGGCGAATGCATTGAAGAATTTTATTCTGTAAATAAGGGCGTGCATTATTTCGGCATAGTATGCTTACGCTATATAAATCCTTAGACCACTATGCGAGAATAGTAGGGTATGGGCTATATAGAGACAAACTGACAGGAAGCATAATAATAAAAAATAATTCAGTGTTTTGCATAAAAAAAATTCAAAGATCGTAGATTTGATTGATTGAAATAACAGTTAGAGAAAATTTATGTTGTTATGTTTTCTGATCGTAATATAGCTCTAACTGTGTCAAATTGTTTTATACATTGTCGCGGGCATAAAATTAATATTTACACTATGTCGGGGCCAAAATAAACACATTCACGTACGTAAAACATAAAACAGTTTTTCTGCACTACATTTATTGGATAGTTCTTTGAAAAATAAATCTCCATTTTGGGCAGATGCGCTTAATTGATTTAACATATCATATTTATATAACATACAACTTGAAACACGACACTTTGTCGCAGAATGAACACCATTGAGTACCTCTATTTTTACTTTTTGGTCAAACACAGTTTTCTGGTTTCCAAAGCAAGACATAGACACTGCTATTCATTTTATAATATTGAAGGTCCTAGAGCAGAACTTGGACTTTGGCATTTTAATGATATGATAGGCGCGGTATCATTTAGTGAGCTCGGTGCTCACGGTAATTCTAGTTATTGTTTTATTGTTGTTATTTTTAGTGAAAATACTTCTTTTTTTCAACTTGTGTCCAAAATTATTTAATGCATAAAAACAATACAAACAAGATGTGTTTGTGAAACACTATGCGCCCCTCGGCAACAAAGTTCAAAAATCTATTTTTAGCATATTGGTCACAGTCAAGGTCACATGGTCATTGGCCTTGGTGTTGTTTGAAAGAACTTTAATATATTGGTCGAGTATGTATACCAGATATGAATTCCCTATCTCCTATTGTTCAAACTTTATGGCAAAAAGTGGATAAAGCTATTTTTAGCATATAGGTAACAGTCAAGGTCACAAGATCATTGACCTTGCCGTCGTTTGAAAGGACTTTATTCGTGGAGTATGTTACCAAATATGAAGTCTCTATCTCGTATGGTTCAAAAGTTATGGCGACGGTTAAATTTGATAACAGACAGACAGAAAAACAGATAAACAGACAAACAGATAAACAGAATAAAAGACAAACAGACGGGACAAAAACAATATACGCCCTGGATCTATCGATCCGGGCGCTTAAAAATACATACTGGTTTTGATACTGCAATAACGTTTGGAATCTCCACTATTGGACCTTCCTCCCCAGAAAAACCGGCACTGATATTTTGTGATCCAACATCGATTACTACCGTTTTTACTGTGTCTTTATCGCGGTCATCCATGGCTGTAGACATTTCATCAGTTTAATGTAATGTAGACGCTTGGCTTGTTTGATCAAAAAGTTAAGGCTTATATACCCTTATTTGTTAAATACGGTTACACTTTTCAGCCTTAAATTATCTCAATATATATAACATCGTTTATACTAGAGATTTAGTGATTCTGTTGACCTGTTTTGCTTTTATATTAATTGTAACAATTGTTTGTTGCCATTTTATTAGGTAAAATGAATAGTTTTAAAGCGTCTCATGTAGTGGTTCGAAAAACCAAAACCACATTATTTTTGTTATAATTTAAGACAATTTTTAGCATATATTGTTTTAAAGTGCTTGTTGTGCTTTTTAAAAGAATTTTATTTGTGTAGCATGATCCTTGAAACTCATTTTTCTTTTCTTTTTTTTTTTTTACTTAAATAATTCTTATATTGATATCGCTGTAGTCAAAGATTCATGATATCTGTACCCTTAAGTCTTAGTTAGTTCCGTTATAATTATAATGATTCATGAATAGCCTTCTAATGTGTCGGTTTTCGGATGTAGTCAAACAATTAATTTGCGTGATTATAAACATACACTCCGAAATTGTTTTTGAAAAATTTTACCAGGCAGGCCAGTGGCTTGAAAAACATCATAGAGCCATTGATAGGATTGTTATTCCTGAACTGAAAATACATATGATTTAGGAAATACGTGTGATCGATGCCCCGTCTATTTCTCCTTCCTGTGTGTCTGTATCCCACCTTGTGTATGACTTTTTTCAAACAACGCTCATCGGTTAACCGGTACTTTATGTAGAAATTAAAGTATTTTACTATTTATCAAAAGAGTAATTAAAGATCTTTTAGTACAGTAAAATGTCCATGACAAGGAATAAAGGCTATAAATATTAATATCTAAAATCAACCTCAAATTAAACATTTTGTGAAATATTTTACAACTATTTTAACGTTATATTTCTTAAAAGATTGGTGACCTGGACTCCCACTGATATTTCGGAGGGTTTTCCATCATTTCGGGGACTGTGTTTGTTCTGCTCTTATTTTTGTATTGTTTATTGGACATTTTACATTTTATGCTGTTCGCTATAGAACATATATATTTCATCGGTTTATCACAGGAAGAAATTCACCTTCAGTAGACTGAAACGTCCATGAAAGGGAAGGAAAAGTTGCTTTATGACACAACTTTTCTTTTTCGTCAACTTTGTGTTAGCCTTTATGACACAACTTTTCTTTTTCGTCAACTTTGTGTTAGCCTTCAGTCAACCTTCAGTTATTTGAATGACAGACGAGTGTTTTCATGTGATTTTTTAAATAAACATTCAAGAAAGTTACACAATCAATAAAGCATATCTACACATCGATTATTTCCAAATTCTAAGTTAGAATTATATGGGCATTTTTGACTGTTTTTTAAATAATTTAAATCATGTTTGACTGTCCGTACAAAGTATGATTTATCAGTTCACGTATCTAAGTACTTATGGTCAAAGTCAAAACAATATATTAATAACTGTCAGCAAATTTTATCATTGGTTCGAAGAAATCTATAAGCAGAATTTTCTATGTAATAATCACATGCAGCAAGTAAACGTGTCTGACAAAATATAGATAAAAGAGAATTTGTTGTACCATAAAGAGACATTTTTTATCTGTGTCATCATATAATAAAATAAATATACTGATTAAAAAATGCTGACTCGTTGTCATTTGACATGTGTTAATCCGAAGTTTAATCAGATAAAATCACTCGGAAATCTTTAAGTAATTAGTAAACGCAGCGTACTATTAAAAATATTTCTTAAATATAATGGGCAGTATTGCATGTATAAGTTTCCGCAGCTTCGAGCTTGATATAATGTTGTTCATAATGTTAACTGTAAAATCTTTTTTTTATTCTCATTTTAAAAGATTGTGTTTTGTGCAATTATGACATATCGAAGTCTGGAACGGTTGTAAAGTTTTTTAAGTGAAAATAAAGTGGTTGTGTTATCCCCTTTCTCAATATATTTATCTCATGTTGTTGAGATGGGGTTAGCTTGTAAAAAAAAAGCTTGGCTTAAAAGTACAATGTAGGGATAGCAGGCTTAACATGACTTCTATGAAAGGTTTTATTTAATTTTTAACTTAATTACCGTAAATCCGGGGTTTTTTTTCGCGCTGATCTATTTTTCGCATTTTTGGCGATAGTTTTATTCTCAAAATATAAAACACGCAGAAATTATGTTAGCTATAATGTGACATCAAACATTAACATTTAAAACTCAAAAATTTTTCTTTTCTGAATTTGGGTACTTTTAGAGAAATGAGAACATGACAGTTGAAATAAATTACACTGTAATATTAAACGGTATCTTATAAACGGAAAAAAAATCATTGATTAATAAGATAGTATACAAAGCATCTGATAATTTGTTCTTAAAATATCCCCACATTAAGAAAAAGGGCAGGTCAACTGATATAGTTTCAGAAAATGTATCTAAAAAAGGAAATTTAGTAATTTTGAGTTCTTCAAGAGTAAATAAAAAAAAAATCCGTGGAAAATTTTCAAATCTTATGCATATATGCATATTTTTATACGTTATTAGTGTCATATTAAGAGGCTTTTCATGATACTTTTAGCTACATGTTATCAAAAATAGATTTCTGTTTTTTTAAAAAAAAAAACATTATATTAAATTTCGGCAAAGTTAAAGATGACTCCGCTTGTGAATTATTAAGTGAGCTGTAAAAACAAAATGTTTATTAATGTAAGAACCTGAGAACCACTTGCTGAAGGGGACAATTGTTGAACGGAATTTCCTTTTCTATTTATGACATAATGATATGTTTCTGCATATGAGGGAAAATGAGGGTTTTATGTTAATTGAAAGGTAGAGGAAAAGGGAAAATGTATAAATGTTTATAATGCTTTCTGCAATATAACAAAGAAATGAACATGTGCAACTACAAGTATTTACAAAATATTGAGGGTGGATTATAATTTCTTTTTATAGCAGCAATGGTCTACATTAGATAAATTATCAAGAATTATTTAGAAAATCTAAATTCTTACACCCTTTTCAAGCAATGATGAGTAGAAAAACGTAAACCAGCTATCGGAAACATAGAATGACTGATAAGTACTGTTAACCCTTTAATGAAATAATCAATAGCTGAAGGGGGTTCCCATTTCCCTTTATAGCAACAAAAGCATATAATTATACATATGTCCCAGCATTTGAAAAAATGAAAATTTCGTCCATATTTCGAAGATACGAGGGCTGTTCAATAAATGATGTCCTGAACTGTATGACATACAATACAGATATCATATGACATTAAACTTGATTTTCTCTTATTATTGAATCTTTAATGAATTTATAACAGCTAATGTGACCACTTTTCATCACATAGTTTCATCGTGAGAGGCTGGGAAACAAGGGCTATTCGAGACACTGCATTGCAAATGAATGGAAAAGAATCAGTAAACTAGAGTGAAAATAAAAGCATCATTAAAGCTGCTGTAAAACTTGTTAAAAATCCCAAAGAAATATTCACTGAAATGTGTGACATTTACAGCAACTTATGCCTGTTTAATTGACAAATGAGCAGGTGGATTTCAATGATAAAAATTTTTATAATAGGCATCAAAAATGGGTACCGCCCTTGCCAACAAAAAATATGACAACTTATGTAATGTTTTTCAAATTTCAACAAATACTATTTGATGATGTAGGACTGGAGGAGTCTATAAAGCAATTTTTTGCAAAAAAAGTCGAAAGGTTTATTAGAGGAAGGACCTAGAATCAGGAATCCACTACATTAAATTTCTTCATGACAGCGTCCAAACCCGCACGTCTCGAAGAGTAAAGGGGTTTTCGGAATAAACAGAAAGTTAATGTTTCTTCACATTAACAATATTCGCCAGATCTTTGACCTTTTGACTTGTTTCTATTTCTAAACTTGAAAAAACACCTTTCAGAAGGAAGAAACAAGTCCAGGAAATCATTGGATCTGCCATTTTCCAGTATATTATGGGTCATACCCAAAAATGAGTTCTAAAAACAACCAGAAACTGGATAAAAAATGTTACGGACATGTGTTTTAATTAAAAGAGATTAATAAGTTAAATCATGAAGACTCGATCATTGAAAAGCGTCTTTTGCTTCTTTTCGAGTAACGAGGACATTATTTATTGAACAGTCCTCGTATATAGGAGATGTTTAGAAATAAGTAATTTCCGTTCAAATGGCTCTAGAAATCGGATTCTTAAAGAACAGCAGTTGAAGAAGGATTATCATGAATGGAGATAACGACCAGTATTCAACATCAACAGTATTCACGATGAAATATCTATCAAAATCAGGATTGGTTTCACGCCAAATGAAATACAAAACTGTATCTGCAGATCTTTAAACTCTTTTAGTAATCTTTCTGCAAAACATCTTCGACATCGAAATATACGTAGGCTAATTGAAAAATTTGCATTCTAAAAGGTGGCATTAAACAAATACAGGTTTACCAATTCAAACAATTACATTTTAAAAAAACATTCAATTTTCTACGTTGCAAAATGTACTTATCTTATTTCAAAAAGTACTTACAGTAAATGAAATTTCAATGTTCAAGGGAAGACAAACACAAAATTGAACACAACGCGCAGATTGGAGTTTACACAAAACATTATTTAATGTTTCATAAGATTTTAGCAATAATGGTATTTTCTTGATTTTCTTTTGTTAGTTATTTTGTTTTAGATCTTGAATCCAGAAAAATAGGTATAATAAGAGCGTAGTCTTATGAGTATTCTGAGTCCAAACTTTGTTGTTTTTCTTCAGAGATACTACCATATGCCCAGTAGTGTTATCCCACGTGCTCTTTTGGTCTGTTATCACAGCACCAGCAACCGCCTTGCCATCCACATACATTTCGATTAATGCTGTTCCCCCTTTTACTGTAAGGAACGACCAGTTAAAAGAATAGACACCATCCTCAGGAGCAGTAAATATACCGGTTTTAGGATTTTATCCATTG